GAAAAAGGCTTATTATTTGACAAAGAAGAGAGACACAGGGAAGCCTCTGAAACCAGGGTAACCCAGACCAGGTCTTAGTCTATCTGTTATGCAACAGTGATGATGGGAACCGCAGGTTTATTGCCCAGTGGGGTGAGGGGGGGAGGGAGGGGTTTGAGGAATCCGGGTTTAAGAGTACCAGGGATGCTCGTGGGATCCTTTAGGGGTAAAAACTGGTGATTGTAAATCTTTTAGGGTGCCAATTTGGAGTTTCTGGAAATTTGCATTTTCTGCAATCTCTTAGGGTGTCGATAAAGAAGAGAAAGAGMRCATCGATATTGATTTTTCTCTCGTTTTGTTTTTATTATTTTGATTAAACCATTGGAACTGATGTAACGGCTATATTAGTGGTGCAATCTGTTAGGGGTAAAAAATCAGATAGCCACGCCTATTATTCAAGACTTCCAGGATCTTTTAGGGGTCTTTTTGAAAATTTCCGACAAGCATCCCCGGTACTTTTACCCAGGAGTCCCCCACCCCCCGGGGTTTATTGTCAACGAGTATCTATGACGGCGGAAGCAAAAAAAAAAACAGAGAGGGGGGGCTGTGAAAATAAGTAGTGAACAGTCAGGTTTTCTATTTAATAAGTACATAAAAAATTCGAATTCTATTCAGTAAAAGTTGGAAATTATTGGTCTAATTGGGGGGGGCGGGGGTCAGGCCCCACCAACCAAATTATTTGGGGGAGGGGCAGTGATCATCTGACATGAACTTGGCAACTTGTGTAGATTTACTAGCTTGTGAATTCTGGTACTTGCAGTTGAACTTAAGCAGTTGAGTCGGGGAAGCTAAAACCATTGGCGATCTCGTCGCATCTCTTGGTATAATATTCAGTACCTCTTAATTTTTTGTTCTTCTCTTAATAGCTYGCTTAATTTTTTTGCGTACATGATCGGGCAACCGTACATATTTCAATTGGTATTAACAAAAACATGGATTAAAATGTACATGTATCYGCRCATAGCCGGATAAGTAGCGCGCAATCTTACTTCACAAAATATACATTTTCTCTGCAAAAAAAGTTCACGTTCTATCCAAGTTCAAGAATTTGAAATTCAGATTCGGGAATTTTCGAAAACTTTTCACGGCTTGGAAGAAAGAGAGCATTTATCTGCTGCTCATAAAGTCTTGGAATGCCTGTGTTGTCACGTTTTCTCTTCAACCGTGACAATGTTGACATCACATGCTTATGTTCTGAAATAGTTTGAAAAAACTCTTGCTAAAGAAACCTCTATGGACTAAACTACTCTTTTAAAATGTTTTCAATAATATAATGGATGCATTTCAAAAATAAGAGGATTTTAAAGAGGAGTAAACAATCACAAWACAGCGATGATGTGGATGTGCGAACTTTGTAACTGTCGCAAGTGGTCGTTGAAATCATCTATATTAGGTAAATCACGGCAAAACTTGTATGATACATTCTTCTATTGTATTTAAGTTAGATTTACTTCAAATAAAGGAAATACGATGTCGAATTAAGCAGWTTTGTTTGGTTCTGTCGAACTTATCAGACACGATCTTTACTAAGTAACGAATTATTTTCACTTCAAGGTCACTCACGTTCGGCGCTCTAAAATATTTTCTTTTGAGTAGCCCAAAAATTTTATTGCAGAAATTTAAAGTCGAAGCAACGTTCTTTTACAGGAATATTATTTCTTTGATCAGTCAGGCTGTCCATTTGGCGATTTTGGCCTCTAAAGTTGCGCTATTTTTGAGTTCTTGAAAATCGGTAAAATTTGCATAACTTAAAAATTCGGTAAAAAATTCAAAATTTGTTATTTCACATCAATCTGCTCCTAAACGATAAAGTATTATGTTTACTTTTACGAC